CTGTATCAACAAAATAAAAAGGTGAAGGATGACAATGACCAAAAAGGAAAAGAAAAGTCATATATGTATAGTACTATATGTATAGTCATACATGTGCGTAGTAAAATGGACGAACGAAAAAGGAATATCACTTGAAAAAGGAAAACGAAAGGAAATATATATATATATGTAACTGTGAAGGCTGAAAGCCTGTAACACTGTCCGTAACTCGGTAACTCACATAACAAAATTCTGTTTGTTCTCTGCATCATAAAAGTTTGTTGGCATATGATTTTGCACATGTTCAATAGCCTGTCTTAGCAGAAAAAACAAACTAGACTTTCCATATGCTAAAATTTAAAATCACAATCATATAAAAAGAATGTGTATAAACGACTTTAATTCAGAGCTATACCAAAAAAATATATCCTTGAAAAAAACTCACTTGGCATTGCGACCAATATGGAAAACATCGTAGTTGCACTTGGAAACCGATTATCCCGCAAAATTGAGGTTCTTCCACATAAAACAACGACCAAACTTGGCAAAACGATACCAAATCCAACTGGATCAATTTGAAGATTACTACAAAAATGCTTCATCCACTCATTAATATAATCAGTTCGATACATTTTTGATAGATCATATCTGATTCGAATGGCTTCATTGAAATTCATCATGGTTTCAGCATCCAGGTAACTTTGTGTGCTCTGTCGAATGAGTATAGGCATAAGAAAATCTAATTTTTGACCATTTGTCTCACTTTGTTAGCCGTGCTGCATGTAATCGTTGGCGCTCCCTTAAATTACATATAAAGAAAATGTTTCGATTGTAAACGGCCTCTTTGTTAACTAATTGTTATCTATATGTTAGTCAATGCCATGCTTATACTGTAGAAGAGAATAAGCTCTTTGTGAAATTTTTGGAATGTCACAAGTACATCAGCACCATTCACAAGCAGTATCAACCAGCATCCCCCCTTTAGTACCACAGCCACTGTTACCGGTACAACGGCAGCAATCGCAGGCAATCATGGAACAAGTCCATAAGCCACTAGTGTGGATGATGCTAGTAGAAAGCTGGAAATCATCGTCGTGAAGTGAGTATCATTCTGGATGTAATAACATGGCACCTTTTTGTTTCAATTGAACAAACCTCGGGAACGCATAACGGTAAAAGACAACGGTTTCAAAATGGCACCACATCAAATTTCAAGTCATACACAAACATTACCAGCTACATTCCATCACCACCACCCACTCTCCCGCCACGTCAACCCAAAATCAATGCATTACGGCCAACTGCAGTACCACTCATGCAACTGGACTTAAAAGCGCGTCGAACGCAGCAACGAGCTCAGCAACAAAGTAGGTACATAGATACAAATAATAGATTCAACTTCTTTTTAAATAGGCAGCATGACCCTTATTATGCAACACCACCAACAGCAGATGCCGAGCAACAGAATTATATGGCTCTCCTACCTCCACCACGATATACGACCGCAACCGCAAAACCAAAAAAACCATACGCAAAACCATACGCACAATCAAAGAATGTACAACAACATGCAGCTCCACCACCGATTAATTTAGTTGACGAACCGCGGCAAAAGGGCTATCCAGCACAGCGATACTAACAACGAGATACGGCAACAGCAATGACAAATAAACCGAACCACGTCATTTTATCAGATTCAAGAATGTCCCGTTTCCGGCTGTCTCAATTTAACAACAACACAGTCAACGTCCGCATAACATCTAACTCCGGCTTTGGGATACGCGATTATATGAACCAGATCACCAGTGGTCAACTCCGATACCTCCTAGCCCAAGCTGAAAGCGTCACACTTGTTATCGGCACAAATGACATTGCATGGAATGTCGCCAACACCGTCATAAAGTAGGTAAGTGAGCTTTTAACTTGTTTGCGTCGTTTTTACCCGGCAATAAAGAGCACCTCGCACGCCAAGATCATGTTTAGAACCAAAAACAGCCGTTTTCATAATTTCTCTCAAAAGATCCTACATGAAGAAATTCAAATTTATAATCAAAAACTAGAAGACCTATCAGAGTCTCGAAAATTTGAAACGCTGAACTTTGATCTGGGCGAGCAAATGCTAGCTGACGGTCTCCACCCTAACTTTGAAGGACGTCAGATAATTCTCCGAACATTCCACCAATTTTTTCGCGCACACACACACATTACTGTAGAGGAAGATCCGTTCCAAACCGCGCACCCCGAGAACGCCGCCACTTTGCTCCCCATAATTTCCTTCCGGATACCGTACTTATAAACATACCGCTGCCATTAGAAACAGTAGATTGTGCCATTATATTTCATCTCCAAAAACTCTACTTTTTAACACAGTATTTCTCGCTCAAGCTTGATCGTTGGTATGAATACGTAGATGCTGCCAACCCCGAAGAACCTGAGATACCGAATTTGATTGACATGGGAGGAGATGAAACTGTACTGAATACTCATCCTGCTCGAGATCCATATCCAGGACGTTTTCCAGTACTGGCGCCGGTAATTCAAAATTTCAGCACTTTTTATTTTTCGTTTGAACACACATATTCGGATTCATCTGCTGATTCCGAATGTGGCCTTATTTTTTGATTTAAACAAAGTTTTGACGGAGAAAAATGGAAAATACTGACAAACTGTCAAAAACTCGAAAAATCTATGTTTTCCGAAAAATTGCCCCAAAAATTTTGCTTTTCATTTTATGAAATTTTCGACGTGATATTCGGATTCCTCGTATGAAAATGAGCCTAAAAAAGTTGTCTCGAACTCGATCGCATACAACGTCCTCCCTACGCAAATCCAAGCGGCCTACACCCTTTGCTTGCACTATGGAAAATGGCAAAGTTATTAGTACTAGTTTTTTTGCTGAATACCCAGAGACTTCATTCTTGCTCCAAAAGAACCGCCTTTCGACGCGCAACAAAGTTATAGCCTTTGATTTTTTGAAACGGGTTTTGGTGAAAAATACTTCCGTGTACTATATGAACATCTTGACAGGGATTTTTGAATAAAAAACGCATTTTTCACTCAAATACATTCATATAGGTTAAAAACCATTGCCATGTAATTCGCAATTTGTCAGTATTTTCCATTTTTCTCCGTCAAAACTTTGTTTAAATCAAAAAATAAGGCCACATTCGGAATCAGCAGCATACAACGAATCCGAATATGTGTGTTCAAACGAAAAATAAAAAGTGCTGAAATTTTGAATTACCGGCGCCTTACGATCAGTTTATAAATGGTTGTTCGATTTATAAATGTACAATTCATGGTTGATTTATAAACAAGTAGCGTTCATCAGCTTCCGATTCACCCGTCCATAGACGGAAATCTATTTTAACCCTCATCAGTAGATGGACATTTTACTCCTGTCGAGATCGACGAAGGATTGCAACTCTCAAAATCCAACCTTCCTCTAAGACTCGAAAAGCTTCCTCGTACGGCGTAAGCTATTTAAACACACCACTTCAGATACATAAAGACAGAATCGAAGAACCTTTCATCCATAGAAATTAAATCGACGATCAACCCTGCGATGGATTTAAGTTTCAAAACCGTATGCAACACAGAGAGAGAGAGAGACAGAGAACATGAATCATTTACAAAATTCGATGCTTGAAAGAGCAAGAAATCCAGAAGACGCGAACGTGATCAATGAAGAGCGAAAGAGAGATCCTTATTTTCTGCTTGATCTGACGTACTGAAAATCGTCACTCTCAACAAGCGACAACAGATTCCCGTGTGGTTTTAGAAATGTGTTACAGATAGACAGACAAAAGCTTTCTTTACCTTCTGACAGACCCTATCCTTTCAGTCTCGGGGAAAAGAGGGCACTAACATATTTTTCTCTTCTTCTTTGATTCACTGAACACTTATTGAACAACTTACACAAAATATTTCTTAAATGGTATGATGAGACAAATATAAATTTAAATTAGGAGTGAGAAAAAAATATCTTTGAAGAAATTCTTTCACAAGTAGCTTTTAACAAGACGTGTTATTAATCGTGAATCGTTGAACGCGATTATTTGAATATTCGGAGACGTACATATCTCCATTCTTGTCGAATCGGATTCCGGACGGATGGTTCAATTGCATCGCCGTGGTTCCAAAAGAGCCTGAAATGCCTGCCACCAGCGTTCCGTTATTTGCATTTCTCAGCCACTTCATTATTCTATGGTTGCCATAATCAGCGACGTAGACTGTTCCAAATGAGTCGACAAAAACACCTTGTGGGTAACTCAATTGCGTGTACTACGAGCCAGCGCCGTGACCTCCAGCAACGACTGTACCAGTTGTAGCGTTTGGAAACCATTTCATGACACGATGATTCGCATAATCTGCAACATACAATGCATCGTCGTCAGATTCATCGACATAGATATTCCAAGGTGTGTCTAATTGATTGAGAGCTGAACCCGCCACACCGGTTCCAGCCACGATGACACCATTTGTAGATGAATTTGAGTTGGAAGGAAATTTGAGTACCCGATCGTTAATCCAGTCCGAAACATAAAGATTATCAAGTCCTATTCGTAATGAAAAAAAAATCTAATTTAATTGTATAAATTAAAGAAAGATTATGAATACTGACGATCGACATATAGTCCATCACACCAATTGAACTGGTTCATAGCATTACCACATCCTGGACCAATAACAACTGTGATATTGCCTGACGCTATATTCAGTTTCAGAATACGACAGTTGAACGTATCTGACAGGTACAAATTTGATTCAGTCAAATGGAAACATAGAGTTGTGGCTGTATTCAGATGTTGTGTGTCTGTGGGCGAACCGACGCCAGACTTTGGACCAATCACTGTTCCATTTGTACTGCCTTGGGACCATTTCATGAAACGATAATTCGAGTAATCCGCTACATACACATTAAGTGCTGAATCTACTCGAACGTCATATGCCCCTTGTAACAGTGAGGGCGTTGAACCGCCCGTGCCACTAGATGATCCAGCAACTGTAGTTCCATTTGGCTCCCAGACAACTGATGGGCATATTACTGGTCGTGTAGTTGTCGTTGTTGTCTCTGAAGTCGTGGTCGTTATTGTTGCTGTTGTTGTCACTGAAGTCGTTGTCGGGGTTGTTGTGATCACTGAAGTTATTGTCGTGGTTGTCGTCAGTGTCACTGTTGTTTGCGACGTTGTCTTTTGAATTGTAGTGGTTGTAGCTAAAAGTTTAATGAACAAACTGAAATTTATTGAAAATACCTTTTTCGGGAGTCTTCAACTTATATTATATCTGATCTCTATCGTTTCTCTTCGAAGATGTCTGTTAGTCATTTTAACGTGCAAAAACCCATCCAGTATTGATGCAGGTAAGTTTTTGGTTGAAGGTTAAACAAGTGGGAACACGTGATAAAGAAAGATATGTTTTGAAAAGACCGTCAAAAGTTTTTCCTATACATGTGAACAGTGCCAACAGCAGAATTCTTGTACGAGAAAGCTGTGAAAAACGATGAAACTGCGATAGTAGATTTCAGTTTCATCCGTATATCTGGCCTACCCACGGAAAAAACTCGAGTGAAACTGCCGTTTTAAACTGTTTTCTTCATCAACGAACGGTAGACGGTTTATTGAGTTCTAGAAAACCGTCTGAAACAGCGGTTTTCAAAAAACCCATGAATGGTGTGACTTTCGTGGTTTAAGGGGATCATCCCCTTTCCCGGGTTTCTAAGAAACGGCTGAGTGAAAATTTATGAAACTTTCAGAGTAGATAGATCTCGATGAGTAAAGCAAAAGTTTTATCGGATCAAAATCACCAAATGCTTCCTTCACGAAGTTATGGAGATCACAAGAGCCAAAAATGACCAAAAGTTTTTCCTCTCACAAAAATCGAGAGTTCTGTCCTTCGAGTGGAAACCTTTTCTACGGTAACTAGGACCCAATCCTGATGCTTGGTTTTTTTTTGAAAAATACTACTTCTATCGGTCAGGAGAAGCAAAGTACTGAAGATCCCGTCCAAAACTCTTTATTTTCGATCATACGAATTTGGTAAAGGCTGCCAGATTTGATAGAAACAGGATTTCGAGGAGAGAAAGAAAACGTGCGCCCGAATTGGGTCGAGGTACATGCAAAAACAATTTCAAAAAAAATTACTCCGGTTTCTGGAAACGGATTTCGAATTCTTTTTTTTTGCTTTATCGCTTATCGCTTGCTTCACTACCACAGAAAATCTCAGCTCGATATCTCAATAACTCACCGAGATAAACCCATCA